CAATTTTTATTTCTGTGTTTATATATTATTGCTTAAAGTATCTTTTAAAAAAGAAACCAACAAACATTTCCGATTCCAGCAGTCCCTTTAAACCATCCAAACCTCCCTTGGTTATTTTCAGGTAGTTTTGCTCCAAGAGCTGGGAACACTTCCTATCAATGCCCACATGCATTAGGAGTGGAAAACACCCAGGAGGATACACGCAGGCTGCTTCTGCTCTGTCGAGGAGCATCTTTACAAGAGTCATTTACTCAGGATAGGCTCACTCAAGTGAGAGACGAGGTGCATTACTAATTTAAGACGAATTTGGAATGTGGCCATTTAAATTTCAGTTTTGATCGATTTTGTAAGGCAGTTTTAAGAAGACAGTTATTCTGCACCCACACGTGGGCACTGTTCAGATGCACATTCACTCACCTATGCACACAGACATACCCACGCTCAGGAAAGACCAAAGTTTTACACATCAGCGGTTTTTATCACAGGCTTAGAAATAAACTCTGAGGACAAGAATATGCTGCAGAGCTCTCCATTTCCTTTGCTTTGGCTTTTGTTAGAGAGATAGGTACCACAAGGTTACAGCCTGCACGAATCTGTTGAGCTCACACAGTATTGCACTCACTACAAAAAATACAGTTTTACTGATAAGTCTGGAGAGAATCCCGAGAGCTGTGGTAGAGACCTGAGAGGTTAAATAAATGAAAATCACACCTCAGACAGCACATCCTTACATCTTCAGTACATAAGAATTCAGACCAACGATGAAGAAGAGAAGGAAGAATATTATACGTGTTGGTTTTTTTGCTGGCAGTCTCTGCAGAAGCTATTTATGTACAGTCACAGACTGACATGCAGACTCAGAGCTATTTTCCCAAAGCCTGTAGAACCTTGTCTAAACAACAGCTTCAGAATATGTGTGTGTATGTAAATAAATTAAGGAATGTCTGGTTTATAATGAGCAGGGTGTATTCTGGTATAAATAGCACAGAATGCATTAAACAAACACTGTCACATATGACCAGATATCTATTAAACGAGCACATCACGGGAGAAGTTAATTATCTAAGTGTAACTAGGAACCATTTAGAATCACTGGAGATTATGCTGTTTTTATCTCTGTTTATCTTTCCTTCTGAATAGGCAGTAGGCTGTTGCAATGAAGAGAGTCCCAGAGCAACACAGAGCTTCAGTTCTTAATCAACCATAAGACAACAATAGTTTGAAATTCTGATCAACCAATAATTTTCTTCCAAGTAATTTCAGACAAAATACGCTGGCATGAAATAGCATTTAGGATGTGAAGTTGCAAGATATTTATGGTTCTTTTGATACCTTAAGCTGCTCAGGGGAAGGACGACAGCTTCCACGGCGTATTTTATGTATATGTTTTTGTCAGATATATTACACCAAAAAAAGTACACTCTGACTTCTTCAAAACTGATTGTTAGTGTCAGAGGCTAATATCTCTGGAGTAAAATATAACTTTACTGCATTAACAAGATTTTTCTAGACTTGCAAAGCTACAGTGTTTCAGTCCAGAAATGAAAATGCTAGGTCTGATAGAATGGGATTCTGCTTGAGACATGACATTCACAGGGAAAACCATCCTCTATGCAAACTACCCAACATAGTCAACATGGCAAATGTGCTTTAGTTAAGAACGCTTGTGCAACCCACCCTAACACATAGAACAACTGATGAAGAAATATTTAATCACATATAAATCTTGAAAGCAAGACCAAGCCAATCCCTTTAAATTACTTAAGTACGCTTAAAACCTGTAATTATATATAGCAATAAATATTTCGTCTTTAATAAGCCTATTGGAAGCAGTTTGCCAAACATTTATTTTCAGTTGAGAAGAATTATGTACAATCATTTTATCACGTTCTGAGTAAGACGACTTGCTCCCTTTGACACCCACAGCAATGGAGACACTTAGGTGGGGAAATACATATTTCTTCCCAGGGCTCTCATCTTCCGTAGCCCAAGGAGCAGAGGCATAACCCACATCCAGAGGAAGGACACAGGGGGTGCATATTCAAGCAGAGGGCTGCATCAGAACTGCAGGGAGGAGCACCGAACATCGCTGTCTTTCACCAAGTCCCTGAGCAGACACCTTTAATTTCACTGCAAGACCACGAATATCAGCAAGTTTACAAAAGCATAGGAAGCAGCAAACATTTCTGCAGCTGAAATTGTATTTCATTGTGTCACACAGCATCTTTAGCAATGACAACAATTGTTTTCCCTTCTAAGTTCATTAGGCTTCCATTTGCCATTAACGACTGCTCACTTAAATATCACAAAGGAACTGCCTGGTGCACTTATTAATAATTGAAAACTTTGGAGAAATCTGTGAAATATTTTCTGTCAAAGCTGGTAATTTCTAACATAGTCTTCTTCCCAAATCATTTTTCTTTTTGTTCTTTTTGGATAGTAAGACACATTTTAAATAACAGGATTAAGAAAAGCACAATCTGAATTAATAGCTGAGAAGTACTATAAAATCAGAAGTGATTTGAAATCTTGCATAAAAATACAATTTGAAAATAGGCAATATTCATCTGATTCCTTCTTTCAAATGTTGCATTTCTTTCAGTCTGCACTGTTTCCTAACACCTTCCATGATGATCAAGAAAACAAAGGCACTTAATCTCTCACACATATCTTAAATCAGCAAAGTCCCTCAGATTGAGTCTTTCATTGCTTCACAATTGGACTTGGAGAACCACTAAATGATCAAAAATACCAAAAACCCAGAACTAACAGAAATCTTCAGTGCCTTCTGGCTGTAGTTACTCAGCTCATTAAAGTTTAGCACCCAAGAAGGACAGACAGATGCACGCAAAAAATTCCTCATCTGCAGAGATTCGGTGCACTAAAACATTGTGTGACTTCATCAGCACAGAAGGTCTCCACAAAAAGTACTGATCAAAGATCCAGGACCTGCCATCTTGTCCACAGAGGCAGAGGACAACAAAAAGCAGCAGTCCAGCAGCTGTCCCTGCCAGCAGATCTCACTGATGGGGATGATGGTTGCAGCTGACTAAAAGCCAGAATTCCCCCCCACCCATAGAAGGAGTTTTTAGAGCTGTTTTTAAAAAACAACCACCAAACCAAACCATAGATTTTTCCACCATCTTTCACTCAAACACTTCCTCACCTTTTCCACACAAGATCAGCAGTTCTCACGCTACAAACAGCAGTACTTTACATCCTGAGAAGCCTTTGCACACAGCTTGTATCAGAAAGCCAGTCACACTATGCTCAGCCCAAGGCCTTACAGCCCCCAGCAGCTCTGAGAGCAGCACAAATCCCCCCCCACCCCAGGAAGACAGAACGAGATGCCCAGGCTGATTCCCACCAGCCCTGTCTCTTACCTGAGTGTAGCAACACCAGCAGCTGGGAGCCTGCAGCCTCCCAAAGCCTCCTCCAAAGCACCTTTTGCAGTAGCCAAACTCAGGCTTCTTTGCTGCAGCTTAACTTCACAGCTCTCAGCTCTTCAGGAGCAAAACCGGCAGGCACTGTTCCTCAGGGACCTGGGCAGGGATCTCTACCCCACCACGAGTCAGCAGGGGCCCAGCTACAGCCCTCCTTTCTGGGAAAAATGGGATTGTTTTCAACAATGACTACAAAGGAGATAGAGTCAAAATAAAGCTAGGAGCTTGGCACAAAACCTTGAGCTTTAACCAGCTAGCATCAGGCAGCCTTTAAGTGGCCACCCCCACACAAGCCTGTTCCATCAGCCATAATTAGATGGCCACCTGTGCTGAGGAACTCGTTAGCACCGGGTGCCCTAATGGGCCTCCCCGTGCTGCTACTCCAGCACTGACTGTGGAGGTGTCCCTAAAATCTCCTGTTGAATTGCCGAACCAATACACGGGTCAATAGCAGACTTGTTAACTTCATGACAATTCTGCATCTTTTAAGAGGACTTCCAGGCTGGATGTGGCTCTGGGCAGCCTGGTCTGGTGTTTGGCAACCCTGCCTGTGGCAGGAGGGTTGAAACTAGATGTGCCCTTTTCAACTCAGGTCATTCTACGATTCTGAGACTTTCTGGTTTGATGTGATTTTTGAGTGTGCCTGCATTTCATGCTTCACACAACGTTCAAAGCCACGTGTGCCACGGGAAAAAGCTAGATCAAGCAACACATGGCTGTAACAGTAATCAACAAGAGCGATGTGAGGAATGGGACTTCCCTTAGTGCATACTTTTTTTGGCATAGGCGCATGATGTGCTGCCTCACCCCCAAATACAGTGAAGTGAATTGATTTCGTATTCCCTGCACTCTTACTTCCTAGTTATACAGCTGTGATTGGAATGCCAGCACAGACAAGCTGCAGAAGCCTGTCATACTTCAGTTCTTTGCAAGCACTTGGCAAAGATTGTCCGGTTGTTAGTAATGTAAAAAAAAATTTAACTCTCAGCTAGTTCTAACAGTATTTTTTGTGACCAGAGACTCTTCACCCACTTTAAAGATGTCTTTAGAGAAACCTGCATTCATTGTTGATAATGCACCTTAAAAGCTCTGAAACTTTTTTATACGAGGGGCTGTGTTGTAGAAGAATTCTGCAAGTAGGTGTAATCTATGAATTTAGCTATTTATAATACTTTATTGGCTTTTGAACAGTTGCTATCTGAAAGTGCAGGCAACAGTAACAATAATTTAATAATGTTAAGCCAAGATGTTTAGAGAAATGAAGTCCTGTATTGAAATTGGAGAAATTAATTCCAGTCCAAGCCTTGTAATTAGAAAATTCTGTTTGAAACTAGAAGTGTGAGCACTTCTAGTACAACCTCAATGTGGTTCTGAGTAATTAGCTTCTTCCAGTTCAAATGCTGTGCGTCTCCCTCTTTGCCTCTGAATTTAAATAAGCTACTACTGGAGAAACAAACAGAAAGTGTAAAAAATGAGGTGCCCTAGCATTCTCATGAATGGATGCTAACGGCATCCTTCAAAGGAGAAACTGTCAAAGAGAACAGGAATAACAAAGAATTTCTTTCTTACATATTTTATTGTTTTGTGTTGGTTTTTTTTTTTACATTCTCTGATGGAATTTTTATGCAACTATTATGCCACAATCTATGATACACAATGAAAATGGAAACCTGCCATTCACCGCTTACATTTCTATGTTAATTTTGTTTCTTACCTCTGCATATACTGCGGCATAAGGGCATTTATCATATTTCATGCAGCATCGACCTGCTTTATGCAGTCTGAGAACATAATGAATGGTGCCAGCGATATTTAGGCGCACTCAATTATTACCACAGAAACACAGATTCACAGAAGCATTAAAATACTTTGGGTGATGGTTACTGCCCATCAACGTAATGTTTTGAACTGCAGAAATGGACAGGAGACAAACTTCACTACTGTCAACAGCAGTATTTTCCAAGTTCATTAGGTTTCAAAAGATTGAATTAACTTCAGCGTTTCAATGACAGAAAAAGCCCAAGGCAACCAGCCTAATTTAAAAGGATGCTACTGATTTTTCATAAACATTTGACTAAGCTTGGTTCTGGAACCCACATAATCACCTTAGCACACCAATTTTATGCTCTGACAGGAGGATTTATTTTATTTTTACCACGCTACCTCCAGGCTAAATGAAGGGACAGCATGAGGTGCACATCCCCTTTTGGTAACCTGCTTGTACTAGCAGCAAGTGATCATAGCTCAAAGTTTTTAACAGAGCTTTTTACTTTGACAAGACAAGATGCTTTTCAGCATCACTTGACTATTTCCATCAAGCATAAACTGTCAAGCCTTATTATGTCACAGTTAATACAGCAACAGCAGGGTAGAACTTACTTCCAGGAACAAGAGCATGTCCCAGGAGCACATTCAGGACAGGGAATTGGAGATGACGGTCTCCTCTATGTGTTTTCCAGTCACTTGTTATGAATGGATCTAGCACAACCCTCAGGCACTGCAGGGGCACAGGGCCCTCACACAGCTTGATATTGTTTCCTGCCTCAACTCAGGCACAGCCATTCCTCTGATTCCTGCCACACCCCTTATTTTCCTAACTGCACACTTCCCTCTGCCATCCCGCAGAACACAGAAGGAAAGGAGGAGGTCTCTTGCCACTATACAGGCTGTAGTGTTGCAGAATCTACAGCCAAAAGGCTCACCCCCCCGTCTCATTTCTCCTGGAGCAGATGGAGCAGAACATCTGACAACACTCTTTATACGGAGAGGGGAGTGGAAACCTGTGCCCACCTGCTTTTTGGCACCACAGATGAAGCTCAAGGAGTTTGAGATCACCCTGCCATGCAGTGCCTCCAATGCAGCCAAGAACTCTCTCTAGAGCACAACCATCCCCTTGCTGTTCCCTGCCACAGACCTTCTTGAACTTGCTGTCCCTCAGCTGCCTGACAGAGGATCAGCCCTTAGAGGAAATTCCCCTTTATGTCCATACTTAAAGTAAATGGCAATTGATAGCCTAACCAACAGGTAAGCACAAAGGATCAACAAAATCAATTACAATTTAAGATAAAAATACAGCACGTGCTTTTGATCAATCAGCAAATGTTGCTTGCCCACCTTTCTCGACATAAAAATGGGTGAATAAACCATGAACTGACATTCCAGAGTTGAATTAACACCAGCAAGGAAATTTGAGGGAGTGATTAAAACTGGACAAAGCAGAGAACCCAGTACTTGCTGACAAATGCACATTTCTCACAGCCTTTTTACAGGCGCTAGCGGGTCAAAGGTGGCAAATCCTTGTACTATGGTGAGGGAGAGAAGCCATCCAAATTGAGGATGTTCATAGGACCCCCCAGTTTCCTACATACCGTAAAGCATCAAATCAGGCATCCAAAAGAATGGAAGCAACTGGTACTGTCATCCCTTACTCTGAATTCATTTATCCACCACTTTGTTGCTCAACTCTCCTGTTATATGCCACTGCTCTGACAACTGTGGTGAGCTCCATTGTGGTGCCTCTACCTTATATCCAAGTAATCCACACCACTTCTGTAATCACCCATAGTTAACTGACTTTGTAATCCTGACTCCCTATTTCGAGCCTTGTCATGGCAGTTTACCATCTCTTTCCAATACCCACACCCAGTACACTTCTGTACCTAAGTAATCCATCAGTGTCATGGTAGCAACTTTGCTTTTTGGTTTTGTTCTTCCTCTCCAATATGTCTAGAAACAACTGTCAAATGATGCATCTTGTTTCTTTAATGGCTTCCAAACTCACTTTCCTCTTTTTGGGGGATGTGCACAATGACATCATGCTGTCCATGCCTGCTCAACTTAGAGCAGGTTGAATATGCCCAAAGTCTGAGATCAGAGCCTTTCTAAGCTAGATTCTCCTTGTCCCAAAGATTTCCCAATCTAAATAGAGAAGTGACACAAAATGGTGGAAGTTGCTTCTTTTGTTGTTTTTTTTCTTACAAACTGGGAGAAAAGTGCAGAGTAACAAAGTTAGCTGCTGGATCCTTATATAATTTCCAGCATTTCTCCTATTCACTTTTAATTCTTCCCTTGGCTGCTGAAATTTGAGACAGTTGTAGATAGAGATGAGTCAGTGTCCTGCAGTTAGAATGTCTTTCCCTCAAAGGCCTCCAGGTTGAAAGCTGTATCCAGGAACCTTCTGAGTGACACCAGATGTGTGTTCTTGTTGCCTGTGGCAGCTGCAGCAGCAGGCTCTCGGCCAACATACCTTTGTGACAAAAAGAATTGGGCAGTCAAATGACGTAAGAAGAGAGATTATTTTGACACTAACAAGTATGGGAGCATGCTGCTAAATGCATTTATTAAGTCAACTCAGCAGATTTGAACAAATTATTATCAATCTTTTCTTAAATAAAAATATAATCAAATCTAATTTGTACCATCAGTTATACCTTCCAGTCAGCTCCCACCTCTTCCTCCCTCACTGCATCTTCTCCCCATCCCACCCACAGCAGACAGCTACACAGTCTCATAATTAGATAGCTTGCTCTGGGCAATGAAATGCTCCTTCAACAGCTGCATGTGCAGATTCGAGACAATCACCTATGGTAAATGCAAACCTAACTGAAGGAATGTAGTTATTACAACTACTATTTTCTCCAAAAGCCCCAAATGTAGATGGAAATTATTTATTAAAAAAGACAGATTCATAGACAAAAGAGAAAAAGCCAGAAGAGTTAAGCACTGTGCAAAGCAGTAATAACCAGAGCTAGATGCTACTGATTTTGTTTCATAACTACAAAGAAGATCAAGATGTTTGTTATGTATTTGAGAAATAGTCATCTAGACTCTTCCTCCTTCAACCAAGAACCCAAACTCAGAGTTTTCTGATTTATGGAGAGAGTCTGCCTTCTGCATAAATAAAATCCTCAAGTCAAAAGCCTGCCACAAACTGGACCAGGAGATGGAGGAACCGTTAAAAGTCTCATACCAAATAGGTCGAGTGTGGTTCACAATAGTGCGGAAACGAGGTTTGACGTAATCGTAATATCCACTGTTTTTGTGTTCCTCCTGACACCAAACTAGATCTGCGCCTGGATACTTGTCAAGTTCTTCTTTGAGCAGGTCAAATGGGAATGGTGAGATCTGGGAAGAGAGATTCGTAACTGGCAAAACTTTCTCTTATATGGCTCTAGTCTCTGGTAGTAAAACTATTCACCTATCATGTATTATAACCAACTACTGTAATAAACCATTCAGTACCAGAGGTAACTCTGGCACAGCAAGCCCTTGCTAAAAGTCTCCCCAGAGTCTGTCTTAAGAAGGATCAGGGAGCTCACCTGCTCAAGTCTGGTTATAGCTACTTGTTTCTCCAAGTCTTGATTCTTTCTCTCTTTCACAAGATCGTAGTACACTTTTCCTGTACAGAAAATCACTCGCTTGACCTCATGTGGTGCTTGAGCTGCCAGTCCATTCTCAGGAATCACACGTTGAAAAGTGGTACCTAATTATAGCAGTAATTAGAAAAGTGCTCTCAGTGGAAGTGACACTGGAATAAAAGTACCTTCACCAAGCAACTGAGAGATTGCAATGGTCATGGGGCTCTGCTGACTCTCTGTTCTCATGACTTTTCAGACTGACAATTCTGCTAAAGCGAATTTCAGTTTCAAGTTAAAAGACCGTGAATAGTTAGCTCTTCCACTCACAAATATATTAACAGAGAACTATATTTTAGCTTTGTGCTTTACAACTTAAAATTAAAGTTGACTGACAGCTGACTGCCCTGGTTTCAGCTGGGATGGTGTTGATTTTCTTCCTGGCATTTGATACAATGCTGTGCTTTGGCTCTAGGAGAAAAACAATGTTGATAACACACGGATGTTTTAGTTGTTGCAGAGCAGTGCTGTAAAGAGCCAAGGATATTTCAGTTTTTCAGCTTCTCATATTGTCCTGCCAACAAGGGAGTAAAGGAGCACAAGGAGCTGAGAGGGGACAGAATCTGGACAGCTGAACTACACAGACACAGGGATAACCCAGATCATACAACACTGTACAAACTATCACACTGAAGAAGATGGCTGGGGGGAACCACTGCTTGGAGATTGGCTGGCCACTGGTCAGTGAGCAGTGAGTAATTGCACTGTGTGTCACTTGTTTTGTACATACAAGGACTGCTCTGAAAGTAATGCCTCCTATTTTCTTATGTTGGCCCACAGCATTAGAGGTAAATTTGAACAGTACAGCAACAGAGGCTGAACCCTTCCACCAATACTGCTACATTTTTCTGCTGCATGACAGGTGTCAGCAGAGGGGCAGTCTGACTAAATAGTGTCTGATACAGAAGTGTATATAAAGCAAATGTGTGGAATTGAGTTCCTCCACAAGGAAAAAAAATTGGCATCTATTGACATTCATTGATGTTTGCTGAATATTTCAGAGACCAAAAAGTGGATATGAGCCCAATGAGGGATGGGTCATGCAGGTTGGCAGTGGCAACAGCAGTGCAAAAGCCAAGCCATGTTCTGGACAGCCATCCATGGCTGTCACACCATGAAATGAAGAGCATTTCAACCAGCTCATCTGTGCAAATCAGTAGACTACAACCAAGGAATTGTGTACAGAGCTTGCACAACAGGATCTATTGAAATGAATACGAGGGTGAAGGTGACAGTTTCTTGGTTCACATCATTACCGATGACAAGACGTGGTATCACCACTACAAACAGGAGTCAAAACAAACTCTATGGACTGGTGACAAGTGAATTCTCCACTGAAGAAAAAAAAGTTAAAGATGCAGCTCTCAGGAGATAAAGTCATTAGCACTGTTTCCTGGGATGGGAATGGAGTGATTCCTCTGGACTTCCTGGAACTTAGGCAAACCATCAGCTCTGCCTGCAACACTGTGATGCTGACGAAGCTGAAGCCTCAAATCTAGAGTCAGCCAGAGGAAGAAACAAGCTTGTAACTCCCTAAGGCCAGGCCCCAATTGCCAATCTTGTCCTACCACACCCAGCTGTGCATCCAGATTTGTACAGTCCAGATTTGTCACCTTCTGACTTCTATGTGTTTGGGCTGATGAAAGGCAGACTGCATGGACAACATTTTTCAAGCAGCAATGTTGTCACAGCAGCCATGAAATAGTGTTGTTGTGCTCTTGGTAACTGCTGTAATTTCCACATAAATAAATGGGAGGCATTACTTACAGAGTAATCTACATATATATTACTATCGTAACTAGTATTTTTCCTTTTTTGTCTGATTATTTTTTATTTCAACTTCATGGTTTTCTTTTTTCCAATTTTCTCCCCCACCCCACTGGGAGGGGCAAAAGGTGGTGCTTAGCCAGCTGCCAGCTTTAACGACAACACTCACCTTTCACAGTGCAACTAAATATGGTAACTGCAGAAATATTTAGACACACGCACATTACCAGCATATATTTATGCAATTTAAACCTCTGTTTGAGAGCTAAAACAGCATTAGCTCAAGGAAGAATTAGCATAGTATTGATCCATATGTGTAAGTGAAAAGCTACAATTTCAGATGCATAACCAGACTGCTACCTATCTGTTCCTCTATGGTATCCTCTCCCATGAGAACAGTTTACTTGGGATATATGAAACTGGAAGGTATGAAAGGCAGTAATCCTACACTGGCACAAAGGGGGACTTGAGAGTCTAGAAATTCCTTTTCTTTGGTTCTTGCTATGATTGATTAAAATTATTCCCACATTAACCAGCCACAAGGTAGCAGACAGCAGCACGACCTCCCAGTCTGAATAAGCACACACACTTACTAGGAGAATAAGCTACTGTCTGAAGAACCATTTATCTTGGGGGGAGAAAAGCAGCAACACAAACATGAAAAAAAGGAACTGATTTATGTCAGAATTAGCCTGTCTCACTGAACAGCAGAATTCATCATTAAAAAGCACTGAATCTGTGCTTGACTGGGCCAGCTGTCTCAGCTTTCAGTCAAAAACAAAGCAAAAAGTGAGATGAGAGTCAGCAGTACTTCTTGCTGTCAGCAAGACAGTAGGAACATGAAAGTAGTCAGAACTGGATATTAGCTGTGAATTTCAGCAACTACTGAAGGTTGTCCTCCTACCCTTGAAGTAGCGGGGGCTCTCATTAAACAGAGACAAATCACAATGCCCACAGGATTACTGATTTGACTCATTCAAAAAAATATTTGAGCAGTAATTGAAACTCACAGATTTATTTGCTTGAAAAGCAAACTTTATTCACTTACAAAAAGGACATACTGCAACATTTCCATATGTTTATGCGCTATAACATGCTTTGAAAAACCTGAGCAGTTATTTTTTTCTGACAGCAATCAAGACACCAGCTAGAATCTGAAACAGACCACCACAGCTAAGCACACTCACTAACTATGAGCAATTATTTTTCATCCTTCGTGTTTACTACAGATGTAACATCCAAAAACATTATCTCTTGGTGCTGCCAACAGCAGTTTCAGGTAGTAGTGTGTAGCTCTGAACTCACTGTAGCAATGAACTTAGTGTACATCTCTGGTTTGACAACTCAGCCCCAGAACTGACTGCAGCAGTATGAAATAGAACCCTGGTTCTTGCAAATGGGCACACTGTGACTACAGCCTATTCCTTCCTTCTCTGGGGGGCAGAAATTAGAACAATCCAGACTTTCAAATTTAGGGAAAAAGAACAGAAAGATATAGTAGTCCATCTATCTAGTAAGAAGAATATAGAGAAGGAATGCAGAACTAATGCCTGGTTACCAGATAACGTGTTAAACATCTCCATCTGAATGCATACATTTAGGCCAAAGTCTAGGCTAGACCTTGTTAAATCAGCTCCGCAGAAATTAAGCCAAAGGAAAAGGTAAACTCCCCAGAACAGATTCTCTTCTTCACGTTTTCAGTCTGACATATAATTAGATATAGCTGATTATTTGTTCATAATACTTTAACATCACTTACCAGAGACCATTTCATCAAAACTGGATTTAGCTTCTGGATGCCTCAGCAGTGACTTAGGTGTCAAAATGATTAACTGTAAAACAACAACAAAAAAACTTCCAGCAGTGAGGAGCAGCTTTATCTACATTATTATTTGCAATATTCTTATCAATGTTCATACAAAAGACACAAACTGAAAATACTATAAATCAAATTAATATGAATAGCAAACAATATATTTTTTGTGGTTTTTCTCCTGTTTTGAAAGGGTTTAATAATTATTCCAAAGATTTGGGTAATTCACTCTCTATACGGATTCTCAAAAACCACTGCTTTATGCTCTCTAAGAATAAAATCAAATCACAAGCTGTGAACAAGTAAAATATCCCATAGTTGCAACTTAGTTTTCAAGTTTTAAAGATGCCCGAATGTCTTCAAAAGTTAATGGAGCTTTCTCCACAAATCTTTGTTTTAGTAGCCATGCCTGAAAACAGTTAGACTCTAAAAGGATTTGTGGTAACTGGCCATGAAAGGAAGAAATAATTGCAATTCTATCCAATTTTAGCTATAAGCAACATCTATAAAGGTCAAAGATCTCAGAGTGATGGAGCACTTCGGTCAGTATTTCCATGTGAGATCAGCTGAGATGATGTATTCTGGGGAAACCCAAGCTCAGCTTCCAAGTTTTCCCTTGCTGATCCATTAGCTGCTACTGCAGTCACAGCAACGCAGTGACACAGACAGCAACGCCTTACATTATATGGTTATCCCAGTCCAAGCATGGACAAATTTGCACTTGTGAATTCTGCATAATAGAAGAGAAGAACACCTCTAAAAGAGCACAGGGAAAAGGTCTGGCACTGGAGTGGAGAGAGCATTATGACTCCAAACAAAAAGAGCCTTTTTAAAGATGGCAGTCAGTGCTTACACAAGTAGACACAGGTTTTTGGAGCACAAGCAATTAGACATGCAGGTTGTAGTCATGCAACCTGTCAGCCATGCAGTGTCTCGACAAACCCATCTGATGGCCTGCACAGTCATAAAGAAGTCAAGCGGAAAATAGTTTTAGACTTCTAGTGAGAGTTAAGTTTCACTCCGAACTGAACACCTGTGTGCAGTTAAGGCTTTTCACCTTTCGTTTTCCTTTCACCAGTACAGCATATGCAAACAAAGATCCCTTCTTTACTCAACAGTTAATACACCTAGAGTAATGAAGTCCATTAGAGTAACTCTACCGGTTTTCTGAATGGCAGCAAAATCTGTCTTCTGAGGACATGAAAATAGTTGGCTGGAGTTGAACAATTCACCACAATCCAGTTGCATTCATACAGCTGGGAAACTTCAAACTGTTTGCTGAATTCCTGAGAGAGATATTAAAGCCATTAGAAAAACATCTAAAAAAGATCAGGAAAAAAAAGACTCTTGGAAGTCATCTTTCTTTTTCTGACTCTCATCAACTCCCTATCTCAGAAAACTCAAATAGCAGAGCTCTGCTGAGATTATATTATTAGCTTGGGAAGCATCCCTATGAAACACTCTTCTGTTTTTACTTCTTCGTAGAACAATATGAAAATAAAGGCAAAACATTTCCTTGAATTTCAGCAAGCTGGGAAGTCCAGGAAGGCTGAGGAGACTTCAGTAGGTCTAAAGCACAAAACAGAACATCTCTGAAAGATTTAGAACAGTAATTCAATTTTTGAGAGTATAGTTAACTCTCTCCCTTTTTTTTTGGTAGGTGTCCTGTCCTCATCTCAGTACATAAATTTCATATTCTGTATTTATTTTACACATATATGTTTTATATACATATAGAGATGCATATATGGATATAGGTAAGTATTTATGTAGGTATAATAATCTCAATATAGACTGATACAGCACGTAACACAATGATGTCCTGGTTCATGGTACGAATTGTTATTTAGCTCCTCTGATAATATTTACAACTTCCTTATTACGCGCATTTAAATTTGTCCTTAGATGTACTGAGTCAAACAGGTCTTTATTCTGCCAGTACAATGGCAAAAATCACCTTCACATGAAAAAGAATACTGCTGTGGAATTATCATTACTCCAAAGGTAACAAAATCAGGGCCAAAACTGAAATGCATACATTGATTTTTCAATTGATGAGCTTTTCAATTAATTTTTAACAGTGCTTCTGTTAAAAAGTGGGAAGTGAATGCCCAGTAGCGTGTAGAGTTATGTACTTTATCTGTAGAAATGAATGATCAAACTACGAAGGTCTGAGCTGAATTAAATTTAGAAGCTGGCCCTACTTTCGTGCTCCCAGCAGTACAATTTAGCTCCAGTGCAAAAAGCCAGGAGTAGTTTCACATGGCCTCCTTTAGAAATTTGCTAGAGACACTTATTTGCAGTATGCACAGCAATATATACAGGCAGAATCACTGGCCCTGAGGAACAGCCATAAAGAGATCATGCTGCCAGAGATTAATTGTATATGATCTCATCTTTGAGATGAAACAGCCTAGACTGCACACTCCCATTATTTTTACTGGGATCAAGTTAATGTTACATTAACTCTTGCAGCTAAATCTTATCCTACTTCCTAGCCAAAAAAAGGATTATTCAAATAAAAAAAAAAAAAAAAGTAACTCAAATATTTTTTCTTCTGTGGCAAATAACAGAGCACTATTTGTGGCAATAAAATGATTTTCCTAAGGATGAAGCCAACACAACCTGGGTCAAAATAAATCTCTGAAAAGTGAAGAGCAGCAAAAAGAACAGGGCTTTTGACAAATCTACTTACTGGATAAGCATCAGAATCGTCATTGCTCATCTGCAGAAACCTTTCAGGCCTGGCTGATGAATGCTCTGGACCCTGGTAATCACATCATTTAAAACAACATTAAAAAGCCAAATCAGCAGTCAGACATCAGTTTAGATCACTCACTGTTTAAGTACTTTCATTCACCCTTGCAGCTCTGCACCAGGCTGCATATCCACCCCCAAATCATTGGTAGCAGCAGTGAGGAGATGAAAGACACACTGAAGGACTGCAAGTCTTTATTTCCCATAGAACACTTTCATAAGAGAAGTGCAGTAGGTCCACCTGGACATAAAAAAACCTTCCTAACCCTGGGCAAAAATGAGCAGGAGGAAATAAAGAATAGAAACACTGTGCTTCAGCATATTGTAGTGTTTCTCACTTCTTTGGGGGCAAATCACACCTGTATGCAAAGTTAGCTGCTGACAGTCTTTGCTATATTAGCAACCAATGTTGGCTCAGGATCTCTCTCTCAGCATTGTTAAGTGATCAGTACAGGACAAGTTAGCCTTAATGAATGCTTCAGCTACAATAGATCAAAATGCATGTAAGCACTGTCTGCCAAATTAGCCTGTGATTAATTACTGCCTCAAGAGGTATTTATTCTGTCAAAGCACTGTACGTTCACATCTGCTTTCTCACTAGAAGTACCCAAGATAGTTTCTTTTAACACACAAACATTGTTAGATCCATTTTTTACTAGCAAAAAGTGCACATAGATCATGGACAATATCAGGAATAAGAGGTGTAGCAGAAAGTTATCTCCCCTCTCATGTCCTCATTTGTAATGGATGAGAGAAAGCTATGAGGAGGAGAATGCAGCGTGCTTTTCTATTTATCCCTAATGCTGGCAGTCTTTGCTTGTTCAGTTAGTGAACAGTAACTGTTAGGATAGACCTTCATTCTGGAGACAGTCTCCAAGTATTTTAACCTGAAGACAATCTATTACACCTCTCAACTCTCTCCTTAGCTTCTAAGCTAATGATGCTTTTTTCTGTACATGTCTTTGTTATCGTAACTCCCTGAGTCAAAACATGAATGAATGCTCTTCAAAATCACTGCTATGACAGCTAGTAGTTTACTTTGATTCAACACATGATTCTCTCTGCTTTCAAGCACAGGGTTCACTCCGTGCACTAACAATTCAAAGGAAAAAAACAATTTCTTCACTGGAAACATATGAACAACATAAACAGCCATGAACTGTACCCTGCACAAGTACTGTTGAAGTCTGTCTGCACTTTTGAGATGCTCAATACAGTTATAGACATGTTAGGGCTTGTGAAATAAGAAACAGAAATAACATGGTACAGAGTAACAGTCTAATATTGCTGTACTACTGCTTTACTTGTCTATTTGCTGTAAAACTATAAAATCCTATACTAAGCACAGTCTTAACGTGTACAAAAACACTGCTTCACAACCAAACTGAATGGAGAATGCTGGAAGCTGAGATGTTACTAAAAAACAATTACAAGAGTGACATGGGAGGCTTTCCTAACATACCCACACACACGTTGCCCCAGCAACAACCTCAATCCAGAACCTCAGTGTTCACATCCATCTTTGATTTCTCCGCTGACACTCCCAGTCAGATTGACAATGACAGCTATGTGGGATGGAGTAGGGTATATTTCTATTGTGACCACTTCTCTGGTGAGACCTATGCTGAATCCATTAGCTACTTTCAGATGAGCCCCCAAGGAGCCATTTGGCAGCAAAGTCTTTCAATCACAGCCAACTTGCCTGTGCACGCATGACCTAGAGGTGAAGGGATCCATATCCCATTACGAACCCTTCCCCAAATCATTCTGTCCCCAACACTGTAGTAAGGGAGAATAACACTCCTGTAATGGAAAGCTCCTCTGAAAAGGCAACAGATTTCAACAGCCTGGTGGGATTTTTAAGTATTCTAAAAACACCTGACACTAGCAGCAAAATAAGCATGTTTCAGAAGTGCTGGGCAAGTCTTAGCTGCCAAGTAGCCATGAAAACAGAAGACTAATGTACTGTAAGCAGCAGAGAACCAACTCCTCTCAGCTGAGTGCTTCTCTGCACAGGACCACACTTCCTGCTGAGGGCACATTCAGGCTGTCCCTCCTGATTCATTTAAAAAAAAAAAAAGAAAAAAAGATACGTATTTATCAATTCTCTTGTGAAATGCACTAGATCTTTCATTTCATACACACAAATGGAAATGAAAAGCCATTCATATGATATGAATGCAACCCAGCATTTCAGGACAGGATTATAATTGAATGGAAATAAAAATAAATTGTTTGTGAGAATGGAAATGAAGCAGTTTGTAGTGAAGGGATCTGGATCATTTTTACTGACAGAGACTGCTGCTGCAGCATATGATGCTTTTCTTAACAGAAAACTAGAAATATAGGTGCGTCAATTCACAAATGTCAATATATTTGAAAAGGAGGAAGTTTTCCTAGCCTCTCATGATGTATGCAAAACCCTTAAAAACAATTCTGAACATTTGAAAAACAAGTCTACCACTGATAAGAACTTCATGTACATTATACACAGAGCCCACGCTCTTTCCCTCTAAGACACAGTACATTTCCTACTGCTAGCCACCAAAGAAGGGAGTCAATTGCTCTCAGAAACATTTTCCTTCCCTGAAAATGGATAATTTCTTATCAAAGTTACTTAACGTCAATGATTTCTGAAGAAGCTTTAAAATTTTGCATCATTTCATTACAAGTGAATCTAGTAAGTTTACATAGACATACTGCATGCAAAATAAAAATAAGTACTGTTAGACTTTTTTTTTAAAGTGCACATGGAGAATCCAGCTTTTTAAGATATTTTCTTACAGAAGGAGAAAGAATGCACAGCAAAGTCATAGAATTGTTCTTTGTATTTGCTTGCTGCTATCTGTTAACACATTAAATGTGCTGTATAACATGGAAAAAAGTGGTACACACCACAACACAGAACACCATGCTAAGAACTCAGAAATATTTTCTCATTTTCTCTAGTTCTCACTGATCCATCTATCCAAATTAATCTTTGTAGCAATGAAGCAATCCAACATATAAGTAGCATCTTCCCCTGCTCCACCTTGATATCACCACAGGATCCCCACAGCACAGGTGGATTTTACAGATGGACTTGGAGTTAATTTTGCTCACAGTAGCCCATACAGTGCTGTGCTCTGTACCTGTGGTTAGAACAGCACTGATAACATGATACAAGTACTTTGGCTGCTGCTGCTGACTAGCGCTGGCACTGCACCAAAACTCTCTCCAAACTCCTTAAAGCCAGTAGGTTGGGGGTGGACAAGAAGAGAGGAGGGGAAATGGCCAGGGCAGCTGACCCAAACAAAGAAAAGGGAACATTCCATATCATATGACATCATATTCAGCCAAAAAACACCGGGAAAGGGGCTCTCGTTATGAAAACATCTGTCCTCTCAAAAAATCACTGAGGCCCTGGTTCCAAAGATGTGACCAAACATCGCTTGCTAATGTGAGGTAGAGGATAAGTGCTTTCTTTCTACGTGGCTCTGCTTATTTTTCTTCTTCTTCAATTAAATTATCCTTATCTCAAACCATAAGCTTTTTTTTTTTTTTAATCATTATTTCTTCCTCTCTTGCTCTTCCTTTGAGGGGAATTGAGGGTGTGCTGAAGTTTAGTTGGCCATCAGCGTGAAACCATCAGAGTCAGAGGCCCTTACCATTCCTTCCATCCCATGTGGCAAGAGCAGAACAATCCCATTGTGACGAACCCACTTAGCCTGCCCTGAGCTGATGAACTGGTCTATTATACACTGCGCCGTGTTGTGGAAGTCACCAAACTGGGCTTCCCAGCACACCAGGGCATTCGGACTTGCCATAGCGAAGCCAAGTTCAAAACCTAAGAACCAGATAAGTAGGAGAGTTAGAAAAGGAACACTTGATAAGAAAGAAAATAAAGACCTATAAAAGAAAACTTAAAATACAAGAGTTAGAAAGACTTGGTGAGAATTCTGTTCATTTCTCTTCTAAAATTAAAAGAAAACCAAAATGACAGCATCAACTGGATTTTTTTAGTGCTGATATAAATCATGCGGTTTTCAACAGTAGCATCAGAAAGATCAGCAAATAACTCTTTTGCAATACTGACTCTAGTCCTTCAAGCATTTCCTCAAACACGTACATATAACAGGATTTTTAAACAAACAATTAGAACTCCCCGTCAGTTCAGAATTTTGTGCAAAGTTTACCCAAGAGCTCACTGAGGTAGATACCATTTTCTCCCATGGTAATCTACTTACAGTCTAAGACCAGTTCAATAACCTAATTTTTTTCTTTTTTAAACTACTTGCACATGCCAGCATAATTTAATTGAGAACTAATGAACATGTGATTACAGAAAGTTTAAACAAGGTTGTGCAATTCCACAGGGAAAACTCCCAGCAAACCTAACTAGCTCTTCAGTCGTGGTCAGTGTGCAAACTTTTCTGAAAGGTTAGTGGATGGACAGCAACAGGATAAACTAACTGCACAAGAGAAATAGCACCAAGAGCTCCAAATGAGACTGTTTATTCATGGAAATAAAAGTTTTAACACACTGGATTTATAGAGTCCTTGGTGATTCCAAGCCAGCGTTTTGTTTACCATCTCCATGGCATGAAAGCTTTGAGTCACTTAGCTTCCGGAGTGAACTCTTGACGATCCATCCATGACTCCAGCAGATGTTCATGTTCTCATCAAAAAGAATTGGGTACATTACAAAGCCAAAAGAAGACTGAGAAGTTAGCCACGCTGTCTTTGAGCTTTTACATCCCTAAGACAGTGCGTGGCTTTTGCTGACCATTCATTTGGCCTAACTGCTTGAACAGCCTTGCTTATACAAAATATTTTATCTCTGTTCTCCTTATTTGTGTGCATCTATTGTATTTAGCACAATGCAAACAGTAAAAAAAAAAAATCTACACAACTCCTTCAATGCACGTTCCCAAAGGTATCTGAAAAACAGATTTCCCTAGGTAGGATAGAATCCCATTCTAATTTTACGCAAGCATTAAGAGACCATTTCTACTGATTAGGAGACATGGTTGAAAAAATATGCAATATGTTCAAGGTTTATTTGTGCATATGCTGCTCTCTGTAAGAATGGGGTAATCTAGCTTTTAGAGAAGAAAAATTTGAGGTCCTGACTTCAAATTATCAATAGCCAGACAGTGCTTTTAGAAGAGTATGGAGTTACACGCGAACTCAAAACTTGGTCAAAGCACACCCAAAATTCTGTTTCATGTAGTGAAATCACCTGTAAAATTTCATATGGAAAAAGAAGTGCCATTTCTCACTACCTATCTGGTTGCTCTCTTTGTGCTAATAACCTCTAGCAGGTGATGCTGTCCCAGGTGAAGCTGTATTAAAAGCTGTGATTCTAACACGGATACCTTTTGCAAGCTTTCTGACAGCCATAAAAATAATTGGGAAAGGATATCCAAATGTGATCTATACTTTCTGATTAATATTCTGAAATCAATGCTACAAGGACTACTATTTAATTCAACATGCATCAGTGGTGTACGCGTTTGGTATCTCAGAACTCATTTTCCACCATGCAAATTACAATGAGAGTTCTTAGCATTAAAGACTTTTGACCAGCAATTATAGCAATCACTAAGAAGTTTGTCAAGAATTACTACTTCTAGTTGTATATGCTGAAAACTATTAAAAGAGCAAGATCTGAAGTGCTAAATATATAGATACAAAAAACTATAGTTGCAAAGATGTGTAGACAGCAGCAATACGGGCAGCTCAGGAGAGGGCAAAGTGCTTTCCGCGAGGAGGATTTTTTGGGAGTACCAGATGGATCCAGGTCAGCAGCTAGAAAGACTTCACAGTTCTAAAGATGAGATGGAACTGTGGGGTAGCTGGCTCTTAACCAGGCCCTTTAAGAGGGCTTAACTTCAGACCAGACTAAAGAGTTAAAGAATACTGCAGCAATGACTTGTGCTGTTGTGTCTGCAGAGCCCAGAAATGAACGTTTCTTCACAATCCTATACAAACTTTGTGATTGTAAAGGATTAATTCTTATATAATGCGATACCCAGAGAACAGGCTTAAGCTAAGAGGAAGCCTAGTGCCAAGACAATTAGGCTCATGATTGCAAAGAAGAAAAGCTAAAGAATCTGCACCACCCAAAACGTGATGGAGAGCCTGCATCCAGCTCCTTAACTCCCAGCAGTCTCTCAAGGCTCAGAGCGTATCGGGGCACAGGGGACCAGGACCCAACACAGCAGTTTGGTAATCTTCTGAACAGAGAGGAAGACACAAAAGAAAAATACACAGCACTTGACTAAGGTTGCAAAACTAACGTTTTAATTGTTGAAGTTCATTAAGGTCCCTAGATGACAGGCGTAGCAGAAATGCTTGTTTCTATTAGGCCAGTTCCTGCTGTGCCTCCTTACTGTTTTTGTCACTCTGGCAGAGAAAGAGGTGGTTTCAAGCAAAGTGGCAGCTTACACAGCATAATACTCTGTGTTTTTTCCTCCTAACGCTTTGCATCATTGTCATAAGAACTGTAGTTCTTCCAGCTGACATAAGTAAGGCTGCAGCTTAACTCAGTATGATTGCAAAAGGATTCAAGGCATGAATGTTAACTAATGGCTATAGATGGCTTGTCAATGCAGAGATAAAATGGCAGAATGAGAGAAATTATGAAGACAAGTATATGCTATGCTTATTGCAAAAATCCAAGCACAGGGACTAATGTAGGTACACTCCTGTCTCAAAACATGAGCACAGTCCAGTACAAATTTAAGTTAACGCATATCTGGTGGCTGACTCTATAGAACAGAAAGACTTCTGCCTTGGAGCTCCATGTAGGTGCTGTTGAGAACCCGTTCCTTGGTTACTATGTACTGTCCTATTTCCCAACACCATTTTGACAGGCAACAATATTTGTTAGTCCTAACCAAAAAAAGTGCTGTTATGAATGAGCAGTAACATTGCACGTTCCATCCTAGCAGTATATTGAAAAAGAAAAAAAAAGTTTTCAGCAACACCTGTCCTTCTCCCTTTGTCTTGTATTTTAAACATCAACTCCCCCTGGAGAAAGCTGTACACCAGTGCTGAGCTATGCACTAGTTCCAAGCCTATCATGCTTGGACATTCTCTGGAAGTTCCCAGAATAGGGCATGACAGCCCAAGACCTCTCAAAGCCAGTGATGAACCTACCAGAGAGAACTGCTCCTCCAGGATGGAGAATCAACAACAAACAAGTCATTTGGAGGGTGGTAAAAAAAGAGAGGAGATCCTGACACATATTTTAAAAACGCTGAAGAGACACCACATGGAGCACCTGTTAGTTCAGCTTTTCTATCTTGATTAGCAAACAAATGCAGACTCATTAGTTTAAATGACTTCACACAACCACTGCTTATTCTCCTAGACATTCCGTTTCAATGAAAGGAAAAAATATATAGCTGGATGAGAGGACACACAGCTCAATTGTAATAATCTGGAGATAGCTAAAAACAGTAGACATGGGATGTCTAACTGAGTTCATAGAGGTTGTTAAATACTCCGATTTAATGCCCCAATATAAACACTTCATTGCTTCCTGTATACAAAACATAAGCAATTGTTTGAGCTATAACAAGACTGCCTTTGTATTCTAAGAGGAAACAATCTTGTTAGAGTACTACTTTTAATGGAGTGGTTACACTCCAGGAGTTCCTAACCAGCACAACGATAACTTGGTGCAAAGCTCACAGCTCTGAATGGTTGCCAGCTCTTCTTGGCTTACCCACCTTCCAAGGAAATAATCCGCAGTTTTATCATACTGAGCTGTTCAATCCATTAGGTCAATTTTCACTTAGCTTTAATTCACAGAAACAAAAGGCATTCCCAAAATGCCTCTGAGCTACTGCCTGTTTACAGTCATAAATTGAAATCTCAGCACTTGTTTTTTTTTTTTGCTTTGCATCCTCTTCCAAATACTTTAAAACACATAATTGCAAACTGTTTCTGTGTAACACCCTTACACAGCAGAATTAGCAGACTGAGAAAAATAAAATTGTTGGCTTTTTCTTCCCATTTTTACTGCTCATGAAGAATCAACTCCTTGAACTGCAAACATTCACTCACTCTTCCAGATACTAAAACCACGATGATACCAGCTAGACAGATAACAATTCTAATGTCCCTTCCAGTTAATCATTCAGTTAGAGGAGCCATGTTCACACACCGACTGTGCATCTCACACTGTCTCTGTACAGATACAATACACAAATATAAACATATCCGAGAAGGCTGATATGCAGAAGTTAGCAAAGGAGCACAAACTTAATTATAAACTCATTTCAACATAAAAACAGAGCAGTTTTCGTAAAATAATAATCACTTATCAACTGTTTCTGTTGATTTAATGCGCTTTATTGATAGAGAAGATCTCATACATGAGGGATTTAAAATGCTTAGCAATTAAAAATATTAGTATCGTTAGCTTTTAGGAATCTTTAATCACACCTCCTGAAGCAGAATTGCATAGAATTGAACAGGGTGGTTCAATATATACTCCTGTTTTCGGTGTAAAAACAAACACCCAAATTCTGTTTTGAATTTCTTGCAATAAGAATTAACCTTCATATCACATCAAGACTAGACTTCCTATTTCGATCAATTGAGATGTAACTTTTGGAACAAAATCACAATTCAATTGTATTCAGACATCTGTCACTTTCAAATTCGGATACATTATTTCAAACCATGACCCACTTACCTGTAATACTTTCAGCAGCACTGTAAAAACACTCAAATTAAGAAACCCCTGGCCAAAAATGTGAGAAACAGTAGGAAATTGGAAACAACAACATCCAAAAAAAAAATTCTGAAATTAAATTTTTGCTTTCTATCTATGCCAAATTCTTATCATCTTTGTACATATCCTTTCTTGCATTCTCCCATTTAGTTTGCATGAAAATATGATATCCTAGTTCAAAGAGATACAAAGTTCTCCTCACGCCAATTCTGCTTACAAGTCAAGAAAAATATCTTGAAATCTCAGTTGTCAGCCCATGCTTCAATCCTACAGTTTTAAACTGTTTTAATTTTAACAGTATTAGCAAGAGGAAATATGGAGCATATGCAAAAATGATTATGTGGTCAAATATTTCTGGAACCCTGAAGGAAGCAGTTATGAATTACCATCTTTATAACAATGTTTCATCTTTTCCATTCATACTAGTTATGAAATGAGTATGAAATTGTATTTCATTATTTATCTATTGAATCAATAACATCTTTCTTTAATAAGTTAGTATTTCTTCTGTGCTCCACATTCCTCTTGCCATCCTTCTCATGTCAGAAAGAGGTTATCCATTCACAAATTAAAATGTCTGTCCAATACCAACAACATACTCCACGATGATTAATGCCATTTGTAACAAGGATTTGTTTTCTCAATATAGCACATTCTATACAGCACTTCAGATAAAGCTAGGCTAGATTTTTGCATTTGTGCTATGAAGTGTTCTTAATTTTGCTGATAGCTCCTCCCCTTTTGTTAATGTATTAGGTACGTGTTCCAGTGCTGCCAAGATCAATCACAACAGATGGATACTTTCAACTGAAATTCACAACTGTGGAAAGTGAAGATTCCTTTTTAAGAGATGCCAGAACTTGAGAGGGTGAGCTTTGATATGGTTTAGTATACAACTCTTCCACAGCCTTTCCCTACACTCTCTTCCTTGCTGAGCTCTAGATGTCTTGCTCAGTGAAATTCATCCTCTGTCATTACTACGTTATTTCCCTATTAAATACTGCTAAGATCAATGCTACCATATTGTGTAATGTTTCCAGCAAAAGTTATTTCAGTCTCCCAGTTTACATTTTTTAAGTACATACAGGTTTTAAGCAATCTAAGCAAATAGGTGTGCCATTGGGAAAAAGTAGAAAGTTTTGCACTAAAAGCACATTGAAAACTATATATTCATATGCCTGATATTAGAGACAACATATTAAAAAAATGAGAAATAAGAATTTGAAGGTATCCCATCTCTTCTTTAATTTATGTTATAATTAGAAACAAGAGACCAAACGTATCACACAATAGAAAAAAAAGTAAAGCTGAAAGCTTACAGAATCATGGAATGATATTATGACCTGGGTTGAAAAGGACCACAATGATCACCTAGTTTCAACCCCCCTGCTATGTGCAGGGTCGCCAACAACCAGACCAGGCTGCCCAGAGCCACATCCAGCCTGGCCTTGAATGCCTCCAGGGATGGGGCATCCACAAACAATATTACAACAATTTTTAAAAACCCCTTCAGATAATGAACAGGATAAGTGTACTGTAGAACAAGCCCTTCAGGGAGAAGGGCCGGAACAGAAATCAGCATTTAGACTGGATTTTACATCCCTGTTTCATACTTCCTTGCTCCCAACTGAATCAAAACTGGTATGGATGCATTGTAACATTGAAATGACAACAAAAGCAGAGTTTGTTTTTAAATGTCAGTAGCAGAGGGAGCCATTTATGTGTTTTGAAGGTTGGCAAACTCAAGCAGCAATGCAAAATTCGGTAAGCCAAGAAGCTTAACTGCTTTACAGCAAAATCTGAAAAAAAAGCATCCTCTAAATTAACAGTCGTCAATTCCTACATCCTGAGACCTATTTAAACATAAGCAAGTCTCAGATAGTTACCCCGAGACATACCTAGGACGCCATATTCGGAAAGGGAGCTGTTGCACACAGTATAGGGGGCCTGCTGCTCCCAGAGGTGGTTCATGGGAACACACGTTCTTTTGTCAACTTCTTGATCATGAAGCACATGATGGCGATGGCTGCAAAGAGTTGTTGAAATCTGTTAGCTAAGAACACTTCGGGTTTTAACAGCGCTATTTTCAAAGATAAACTTTCAAAGCTACATTCTAGAAAGCACGCATGTAACAGTTATCTCTGTTTTAGATAATAGGCTAGTTTGGTTGAAATCTAGCAGTATGATTGATACAATTACTGCACCATACCGACTTGCGCTGATTATTCAAGACTGTTCTCCAGCATTCAAGGAAATTCAAAATACATAATTGCAAGTTGAACAGGGAAGGCAGTGAGGTGGAGGCAGGAGGTTGTTACACAACGTTTTAGACTGACAGAAATCAAAAATCAAAGGGAAAAAATATTACTAGAACATTCTACTCTCCTTTGTGGAAAATGTCATTAATCTTTTCCTTAGGACAATTCTTTACCTTTCTCGCAAAAAAATAATCTAATCTAATCTGAGCGCCAACACTTGAAACAGTTTCATCTTCTTTCCTGCTATTTCCATTCACACCACTTACAGTTCCCTGGAACACCATTAATCAGCATTAGAATGGGGCACCAAGGAGTGCTATCAAAACAAAGATGACTGAAGTAATTACTGCAATCCATTAACTCTCTGAGCAGACTGAGTGAATCACACCAATATGTCCAGTTTTATGACTGCTAACAGAAGGACAGTTATTATACTAGTAACAACTACTGCGTGTTGTATAGCTGCCAATACTGAACTGAAGACTGAGTCCTTTTGTGTTTCCCTTTGCTACAATGAATGCTAGCAGAAGAGCTCTGAAATCTATTTAGAAGTCAACAAAAATAAAACCAGGAAAAGACAGAGACTCTAAAGATTAACACAGAGAGAGAGGTAGAAAGGAGAAAATACATAAGTACTGCTGTTACAGAAGAAATAATTGTGAAACCATCGTTTTGGTTTTGTCATTCAGACGAAGACAAAGAGTGTAGTCAAGAGATAAGCTTCTTGAATGCGAAGTTGTATTTCCTGAGCAAAAGCTGATTACAATGAGTAGAGTTGGATAGCCAGGTTGCTCTGAAAGTAATGCTTCCTTATTTATTTCCATGGAAATGACAACAAAGAGCTCAATAACACTGCTTGAGAGACCAAATCCTCAAGTACACAACACTGTTTTTCAACACAGTTACCACCACTAGCCGTGCATTTTTGACAGTGATGAACAAGAGCTCTTCATTTCATGGTCTGACAGCTGTGCATGGCCAACCATAATACAACTTGTCTTTCATATTGCTGTCACAACTGCTGAAATGCACCACCTACTGTCCCACTGTGCTCACATCCACTGGTTGGTCTCTAAAACTTTCAGCAAGCACCAACAGGTGTCAACAGGTGCCACTTTTTCCACATGGAGGATTTCATTTCCACCCCTTTGCTTCATACACACATCATGTCAGATGCCTTTTTGTCACACTGTCCCTCTCCTGTCACCTGTTGCACAGCAACAAAATGTTATGGTGGAAAGGTTCAACCCCTACTGCCCTATCACCATTTACCTCTGACACTGTGGGCCAATATAATAAAATAGGAGGCACTGTTTTCAGAGCAGCCCTTGCATATAGACATGCAAGTCACATTTTGCTTTTTTAATACAGTTGTCAGTTAGCTGTCTGACTGATACAGAATCAAGTCTCTTTACATGAATACCTTTTAAATTGTTTTTTAAAGGCTGAAGAATAAAATCCAGGTAGGACACTAATTTCCAGGTAGCCTTTGCCAGTCAAAATAGCTTTTATTTGTGACATTTGTTTTGTGTTATCTCTGTATTTCTGTGAGCGCAACAACTCTTGTCATCTTAAACACTAAGAAAATCTGTACAGTAGGTCTGGCAAATCCTCTTCCACCAGTTAGAGAACTGAGAATACAGAGAATCAGTCTTCTTAAGACAAGTCTATAGGTGTGTGTCAGACTTAACACTAAGCACTCAACAGAATTAGATAGTTAGCTTGCTGAACAATAGATATGCATTCCTCCACCAGGAGGTGCTTGCCATTTACAAGACCGTGGTACTGAAATCAAGGACGATGAGAAACTGGAAGGATGAGAGAGGGTAATCTCCAAGTTTTCAGCCTTGCTTTTTTTTTTTTTTGTCTGAAGGATTTTGTTAAGCCGCCATTAGAATGCGAGCCCAGTGACTAAATACCAAAGGAAACTCAGAACAGAAACACAACACTGCACTGCACGACTGAAGTCAGGCGCCAAGATTTCTTATTTTCCTGCAAATATCCACAATTAAACTTAGTGAAGCTGTTAGTTACCTCAGCCCCAGCAACAGGCTTTGCATCAAAGGGTTCAATTAAATACATCATTAAGATTTTACTCCGTGGAGAGACAGGTAAGGCAGCAGAAGTGAATATACTTTATGAAGTGATGAAATTTACCATTCATTCATGCTCCACGGTCTTTAAGAGTCTCAGTACAAAGGATCTTGTTTCATTTAGAAGAGCCTTGCCAACTGGCAAGATATTTGTTCACAGGACAGTGGAGTTTCAAGAAGCTACCACTAGAGCGGTATTTAAAGGCTTCAGAATTTGTAGCAGCAAATGCACTTCTCTTACTTTTCCGCAATTACGTGGATTGCAGCAGAATTTTTACTTGTTAAGTAGGAAGAAATAATTTCTGCTTTTCAGACAGATAAGAGTATATCTAAAAATGTTTATTCATTTATTCTACACTAAACACTACTCTTTAAAATACTCCATTTACATAAACAGTAGATGAACTGCTAGAATCTATGACATTAAGACTGATGTTGAATAGCCTCAGCTTCCCTCTTCCCTCAAAAGACCGTATTGTTTAAAAATTGCTAATGTGTTTCTTGAAGTATGGGACAGCTTTTAACAGTTATCTCAGTACTCACCTAAAAGTGCCCCTCTCTACGTCTTGTCCACTCAATCGGACATGAATCCCTTCTTTCAGAAAAGAGCCAAAAGCCATGTATTCTGCCAAGGCCCAGTCAACAACCCTGTTCTTGGTCATCTCCAAGCGGGCTCTCAAAATCCGGGAGAGTCCTATTGGAATCAAGATCAGAAATCAGTGGATCTACTTCAGAGATATTTGATATTCACATTACATTCACCATTTTCTTCACTGGCTACAGTATGCAGGAACAGGAGAACTCATCAGGAAAACTCAAAGATTGCTGCTTTTAGTCTTAGTTGCTGATCCGCTGTCTTCATGAAATGCAGAAGAACTGCAGTCAAGTTAAAACAACATTCACTTTGTAGACCATATTAGTTCTCCTAGGTTTGAACTGCTAGCAAAGTAAAATAACTTGTTTCCTAAGCAAAGGTTTGTACATTGTCTGTACCTTGTTTTATCAGAAGAAAATGACAACTCTGCTGCCAGAAACTACTGAGAACAATTAGAATGACTCATAGTCAGACACTCCTTCCTAAACATTTATTTTCACATATCTACCACCAAGTACTGTTTTGTAAAAGACTGAAAATGTTATCTTTTGAGTTCTTCTGTCTTTCTCACTCTCATTTTTTCTTGGCGTTTGTCTTATAGGACTCTAGAGGTACAATAAAGAAACAAGCAAAATTAATCAATATGATGAATATCTTATAAATAAAAAATCGTAGTAGCTGCCAAAGAATTTTCAGTTGGTAAGCAATGGTTGGTTTTAGGGCAGGTTTTTTGGTTTTTTTTTGTTTTTGTTTTAACTGTTGGCATTGTTGCTTGGCTTTGGTTTATTTACAAGTGAAGATTATACACCGGTGAGTCAAGACATAAGTTGTAACACTGCAATTTTCATTGGAATTGGAATATCCTTTGAAGTTGCATACAGGTGCTTCCATCTGAGGCTATATAAGCCTAGAGGATTCAGTGTCACTTAACACTACCTTATTTGCACATTTGCACTGATGATTTCGGCAAGCTATTCTATTTGCTATATTCCTATTCTTCCCTTTGTTACTTTCCCAACCTTTACAAAAATCACTCTGCTTCCTCTCCATGTAAAACTACTCTCTTAGAATTTGTCTCTATTTAAATAAGAAAATTTTGAAAATTGTCTCTTCCACAGAATATACAAAACACTTGGCAAAACAAGATCAGCTTCCACTTTTTCCAGGAACACCGGGAGATATTAATCTATAATTTTTTTAGTGGAAGGCCAACGCACTCTGAAGGTGTTCTTCCCTTTTTTTTTTTTTTCCCCTCTTGTGGCTTTTAAATTGTATAAAAGAATCTAGAAGACCAAAGTTAGAGAATTATTTGCCCACACGGAATAATTATAATGGCAAATCATACTTGCTGTCAAAGTCAAGTTAATAAAAAGAGGCTGCCTTTTTAGTTAGAATATCCAATACTAAATTTTATTAGCTGACTATATTCTAGAATTTATAGTTTAAAATTATAGCATCACCAACAAAGTGTGCAAATCTGTAGACGAGTTTTAAAGTTCATCTTTAGTTGTATCTGCCCACAAGCTTGCAGTTGATAACTAGTAATGCCCTATTTTCACTACTCCATAGGAACACGAACACATGAAACATCTTCAACAGACACTTTATTCCTCAATGGGTGATTCTGGAGATGAAAGAGTATCTGGAGATTTTGCCCAGAAGACAAAACAAAAAAATAGCTCTTTCTTCTAATCCTAAGTACATTCCCAAGCCAGTAAAAGAAAAAAGGTCCCTAAACAAAGCAGTTCCATGTTTCACCAGGGAATGAACGTGTCTTTGCTCCCTGTAGAGCTGTTAAGAGTTCAACCTGACCAGGAAGTACAAGAATTTACTCAGAAGCTTGACAGAGTGCCAGGAGCTCCTCAGTGTGACAGGCACATTTAGCTTTTTACTACAATAGATGCTAAATTCAGAACTGAATCCCTTCAGACCAAGAGTTAAGACTTTTTGAGAAGAAGGTAGATTTATGCTATCAACACTAAATGCTAAGTTGAAAGGGAAACTGTCTGAATTTGCTCACGTGGAGTTCATTCAGCTGTACTAAAATTACTCTCATAACATATCAGCAGTGTTGCCAGGCCTGAAAAGATCAAGCTATATTTCTGAGCAGAAAACTGTCTAACTACAAGACAAGTGTCTTAAGTGAACCTCAAATTAACACTGCTTTTAGCATTTGTAAAAACATGAATAGCACTGAGATGGATTCCTTACTTCCCCCAAGTGCTTCACAAAAGGACTTGACAAATCAAAGGATTACTAACTTAACATTACATAGAGTTTAACCTCCCTCAGAGAAAAATCTATTTTAAGGAGGTAGGGAACAGAAGCAGTGTGAAGCTGAAAAAACAAGAGCAGGCAGTGTGAACCTGTGTTTAAAAACTGTATGGATGTGGTGCTCAGGGACATGATTTAGCTGTGTTGCTAGGGTAGTAGGTTGTGTTGGCTAGGTTGTGGTTGGACTTGATGATCTTTATGGTATTTTCCAACCTGAGCAATTCTATGATTCTGTGATTCTAACCTGAACTGTCACATTCTCCTTTCCCCCTAGGGTAAAAGAGGTGAAATAAAAGTCACGGGCATTTTCCTCCTTGGAAAACACCCAACATCAATTCATTTGCAGAAAAACAAAATCTGAGCAAGAAATACAGCCACTAACGGAAACAAAGATTCCAGCTGACCTGCATGTATTTTGAAGTCTTTGACTGGCACTGAACTAGCTACATTGCCAATGTGAGTCAGCAGGTCTTCTGAAATGCCAGTTGGAGGACAGGACATGCTCTTGGGTTCTCCATCCACATTAAAGAATCCTGGAAGTAAAGATCTAGTGAGGCGATCGCATTGATTAACAGACATTCTAAGAAACGCACTAATCCCGTTCTTCACCTTTCAAAGGGAGACAACCATATCCTCATTTTCTGCATGACAACAGTACTTAATCTTGAAGGCACATAATGATCTGCTTTATTTCTACTTTGACTTCTTGTGAAAGATGTCCAACTGTGTGGGCATAGGTAGACAATAAAACGCCTACGGCACTTAAATCCCTCAAAAAAAAAAAAAAAAAAGAGGATGAGACATACTTCTTCTTCCCGTATTTTCTTCTTTTCCTTTTCTAGTCAACTGAAAAGAGGGCTTTTTAAGCTTCAATCTGACCTTCCATATTTCTTTTTAAAAAACCATCCTCTTTCAAGTTGATCTGGCAGAACGTTTCATTTACTGTTAACATGGGCAAACCAAAGGTTTATTTTTAAGAAACACTGGCTGATAAAACATTGAAGAATTTCAGACTTAGAATTCAAAACAGAAGCACAATCATATTAACATCAGCTTATAAGAAAGGATGGTCCTTACCAGGCCAAGGTGAATCAAGCCAGTGTTTAATGTGTAGAATCTTATTATCCTTAGATCTGGTGTATGCTTCTTCACATATTCTATCATACTTTGCAATTTCTTCCTGTAGAACAAGAACATTCTTTTGAAAACATCTTTGCACCTCCCATTCAGTTTTTAGCTCCAGAACAAAATTTAATTAAAATTACGGAAACGCTTTCATTTTATCTAGGATTTTATCTAGGATAAAATAGGGTAGAAAGTCTTCTAGAAAAATGCTTATTATCCACATAACTCTGAATAAATTATTTAGTTTATTGGACAGATGTTAGAGAGGATAGGACTAGGAGACAAAGTGACAAGCAGTACTCTTAAAAGACAGAATTGAATATAATTTGCAGTCATATTTCTAAGATCAGCGTTATTCAATTGTTACTTCAGGCTACAGAAAACTAGACTAGAAAAGAACCTTCTAGGAAACTGGTCTGATTCTAGCTAAGGATCTGCAAGTCACAGTCAGTGGCAACAGATAGAGAACTGAGGGAGAATAAACTGTTCAACAATACCCACATTTCAATTCAAAGCCACATCCAAGTAGATGAACTAGCTCATCTTTGAAATATCAACAGCAATGAGGACATTAGTCTGCATAGCAAAATATCCAATCAGGATCCTGAATGCAGTTGAACTCCATGCCAGCACTTATCCATTCTTAGAGCTATTAAAGATAACTAGTTCTGCATAAACTGTAATCATTCTTAAGAATAACAGAATGTTTTTTAATTCATCCTCAATATCAGCTTCTCAAAAGATCCTTTGTTTCATCTGCACTCTACCTACTCCCTTTTAGAAAAGACCTACCTAGCTCAACAGGGGCACCAGACCCTACATTTCATCCTTCTGGAACATTTCAAGTTATCTGTCTGAACCTAGGTATCTGAATTATTGCAAGGAAATAAAAAGCTTACATTGTTGGTTTGTTTTTTTTAAATTTATTGCTGAATACAACTGCCACTCGGTGATGAACATGAAGCTACAGGTTATGCCTATGAGCACTCCAACACCATCTTACTGCTGGTTTGGAGATGAAAAATTCCTGCATCTCCAACATCTCCTTCTACAAATCTCAGAATTGATTATTTTTCTTTTTTCTCTTATTATATGTATTAATTACTTCACAGTACTTTCCGTTCCTTTTTTTTTTAATAGGAATACATATGTACATTTAAGTGGAGTTTGTTCCTAATTGGATCATAAGGCAAGGGTTGAAGTAACAAATATGACCAAAGTAGTACCTCTGTGGCAATTACATTTCAAATTTGGTATTTTCCATAACAAGGCAAACTGAATTGGATCAGAAAAGCGTTAAAATCACAGCAATGAAAGAAAGGTTTGTAAGCAGACAACATGCAATGACAACTGTGTCTTCCTGCTGACACTTCTGTAACTTCCTTTTAACTCTATTGATATACTGTACCTCAAACTCCTGCAGGGTTACAGTCCCATCTGCGATCAGTTTGTCAGCATACTTCTTCAGCACTGGCACCTGCTTGTGAATCTGCTTGTACATTAGGGGCTGGGTGAACATTGGTTCATCCATTTCATTGTGCCCTCTCCTACGGTAACAAACCTACAAAAGGAAAGATTGTTTCCATTGGTGAAGAAAGATGTAGAATGAAATTATTCTATTTCATAGTTGTACAGAGATATAGAAGCCTCTGGTATAAAAAAAAAGTTTATCGATTATTGCAGATCTTTTTTTTGTTGTTTTGTTTTTAAAAAGAAGAGACTAAAAGTCATTCAAATCAAACTATGTCTCCTGAATAGAGAAAACGTAAAAGAATTATATACAGAATGAAAAGTTATGAAAACCAAGACTTACTAAGTCAACAACCACATCTTTGTTGAATGTGTTTCGCCATTCTGCAGCTACACTGCACACATACATCACTGCTTCAGGGTCATCAGCATTCACATGAAAAATGGGAGCATTGACCACACGAGCAACATCAGTAGGATATGGAGATGAACGTGCCATACGGGGGTCTGTGGTGAAGCCAATCTAAAAAAATCCAGGAACTTCCATTACAGTGATGAAGGTGTCACCCTCTACTTTGCTTTGAACACTTGGGTTTTCATTTGACTGTCACATACACAGTAGTAGCCTTAGCTTTTCATTTTAACTAGCAATATGAGCTTTTTTCCCTTTGCTCCCTTATGAACTAAACAAAGCAAACATAACCCAGTTGTTACAAACTGAATGAAATAAATGTAGGCGATGAAGTGTTATCCAGAGTTACTAGACACTATGACTGTTTTCAGGAACATTCTAGCCATTCTAATGAACGGAGAATACAAGACAACAAGCTAATAAGCAAGAATAAATAAATAAATATACTAGCAAAAAAAAAAACAAAACAAAACTCAGTACATAAATTGATTCAAAAATGTTCTTTTTATTACCTGGTTGTTGACAACAACATGAATAGTTCCATTTGTGGTGTAAGAAGGAAGGTCGCTAAGATGAAATGTTTCATAAACAACACCTTGTCCTGCAAAGGCAGCATCCCCATGTAACAATATGGACATAACCTAAGATGGAGGATTGTACGCACAAAACCACACACACATTAGAAAGTAAAACTCCAATTCTCAGCACGATCTCTCTGCTCTATGTTTCTGTAGTGCTTATGAAATAAGTTCATATTTTTCTAAGTTATATCAGTATCCTGCATTGTATTTTTACAATAAACCATAGACTTGTCAGCATTCTGCTGTCTTTGTTCAGTTCTCAAATGAAATAGTTTTATGTCTGCCTTCTGAAGTTACCCTTAAGGCACCACGTTGAAAGCTTTATCTAGTTAAATAGGTTACCATCTATCTCTTATGGGAAAGGGGCAGAGAGGAAGACTGCAATACAAAATTGTTAGTAAATTATTTTTCTATAAAAATACTTCAGAGCCTACTAGCAAGAATTACTATAACATTAAACAACCTTTACCTTTTTCCCTGCAGTATCCCCTCGATAAAACTGTTCAGCCTTTGTCTTCCCCTGCACAACAGGATCGACTGCTTCCAAGTGAGAAGGGTTAGCCATCAGGGATAAAGTAATCTTCTTGTTTGTTGCTCTGTTAATCCTCTCATGATACATTCCCAGATGATATTTTACATCTCCAGATCCCTAATGTGCAAGATGTAGTCAAAGCTCAGGAATGCTATACATACAAACTGCATCTGACTATGTATGAAAATTCTACTTCATTCTGAGAAATGGATCTAGCTAATTTTACATCAGTATGCGCTACCATTCTACGGACTGAACACAGACCCCAATTCCCTGTGCTGCGTGGGTGGGGAGGCTGAACAGGATAGATCAACTGGAGAATGTCTTTAGCTTGCTTTTACTCTTCACTGCTCAAGTCTGTTGGTACTTGGCAATAAATTACATTGATCTCCCTATGATGAGTCTTGTTTTGTTTGTGACGGTGACCGGTGAGTAAACTCCCTGCCCTTACCTCAACCCAGGAGGTTTTTCTTCATTGTATTTTCCCCTCCTGCTCTGCTGAGTGGGGAAGTCAGAGAGCGGCCGTGGAACTTAGCTAGCTGTCAGCGTGAAACCACCACAAATATCTGTAAAGTACTGATTCTCATTTCATACACACAAAGGCCACTCCAAAAGTAATGCCTCCTGTTTTATTATGTTGGCTCATGATTTCAGAGGCGGATGTTGGCAGTATGGCAGTAGAAGTTGAACTTTCCACAGGTATTCCATTCAATTTTGCTGCTGCATGACGAATGGCAGCAGAGGAGCAGTCTGACACAACAGCATCTGACATGGAAGTGTGTAAGAAGCAAAGGTGTGGAATTTTATATTCCTCCACGTGGAAAAAAAATGTGTCCAGTGACACCCATTGACACTTGCTGAATGTTTATAGAGAACAAACAGTTGATGTGAGCTCAGCGATGCAGTGGATGGCGCATTTCAGCAGTCGTGACAGTGGGTCACCTCTGCTGGTATAGATTTCCATGACCACAGCATGCAGGTTCTTGTTCGTAGTTGGTGAAAATGCATAGCTAAGGATGGAGACTATGTTGAAAAACAGTGCTTTGGAGTTGAAAATTTGTTCTATAAAACTATTATTGTGCTCTTTATCTTTTGTAGTTTATAAATAAATATATGTAAATAAATACAAGGCATTACTTTCAGAGTGACAACAAGTCTTGAATATAACAAACTCAGGAACTGACATATCTTCACTCATTTTCTTAAAGGCTCTATAACTAAGACACCTTCTGAATGTTAACAGCGCAGTACAGTCTTCAAATTTATTATGAAATTTTATCAAATGACCTTTGTCCTTAAATGAAAGAATATAACAGTGCATTTCAGCAGCTGATAACGCTATTATGACAACTATGACAGGTTAGGCTGCAGTCGGACTCGATGATCAGGTCTTTTCCAATCTGAGCAATTCTATCATTCTGTGACCAAAAGCATTTAAAAACTACCTTGACTGTTTATCTCTCTAGGTATATCTATTGAAGAAGCACCTTACCTCATCAGCTGCTTCAAGTTTGGGATCAAACTGACAGAAGATCTGTTCCAGCTCTTTTCGGATGACATTAGCCAATACATTCAGCCTACCTCTAAGAAAATTCCAAACATTATGTCTCAAAAATGCTAATTGAACAGAGTCAGGAGCATAAAACTTTTAAACCCGCAAGACACCTCTGTCAGAAATTTGCAATTCCGTAGTTCACTTTAAACTACTGAGCTTGAAACCCTTCATTCTATCCCCCCTAATGCACTCCCAATGTTTTCAACATCTACTTATCAAACTATAAGCAGTGAATTATGCAGTTATCCAGCAGTTTTAACATGATATTAATTAGCAATTAACAGACCGCAGAAGTATGTCTATCTCACCCTGCTTTTTCAATTCTAGACTCAATGGAATAAATATCACAGCTGTTGCCACACTTGCTGTCAGCTCCAAAGTGCACCTGTGAAGGCCGTAGCTGTCACTGACACGTTTGTTACATTTCTGCATAGCCATTGCTCACTGTAACAAACTCTTGTTAGAGAAGCTGTGGAAACATCAATTTTATTAATAAAATTCCACTGCTCAAAGCCTGCCTTAAGACTAAAACCATTCAATGGGGGGTTTCTGTTGGCATTACCTATGAGGCATCCCCATTATAACGTATTCAATTCCCATTTCACTGGATTTATCAATGATTGTCTTAAGCGCAGGAATCATTACTTCACATCCTTCCAAACCAAATCTCTTCTCAGAAGACCACTTGCGAGCAAGGAAGTCTTCAAATCTTCACCAAAGGAAAAAAAAAACAAAAACAAGAAGCAGTATTTACATTACAGAAATGTAGCAAATACATTAAAATCTTTTAGCAAAGAAAAGTACATTACCTTGTTTTAAAACATCTATGAATACATGCTTATAGGCCTCCAGTGATCAGTCACACTTTGGGGAAAGGGGTAGAGAGAGGAAGACAGGACCAAATTAAGTCTTCCTCCTCCATCTGAGAATTATTTACCCTGACTTTGAAACAATTCAGATAGGCAGAAGAGTCACCATCTTGGTCAAAATTCAAGTTAAACACTGCTCTTTCCCATGTATAACCCTTCCTAGAAAAGAAGTCTACTCTTTGGATTGAAGAAGATAGAGGAGCTGCATTTTCAAAGAAAACAGCAGCAGAAAGCATGCCTATTTCAATAGCAGAGCTCCACAAATTGCCTGATGTAATGGCTGGAAACATGCCAAGAGAAAATACACAGGAATTTCTGGTCCAGCTGCATCTGGAGAAAAGTGTCTATCCTCGACAACTCTATGCTTTTTCATTCTTTAATGCATTTGGACCAGAGGCAGTGCAAGTGGTTAAAAAGTACCTTTTAACAAATACCAAAAGGGTCATCTGTTGTCAAGCGTGGAGATAAAAATGCAAAGAGAATACATCTTCATTAAAATAACTGTATAAAATCATCTTTGCAGTGTCTGGGCTTATAGCGCTGCCATAATCCATTAAGACATGGCTTATTCCTCTCTTAAAACACTGACATCTACATCTTTAAAATGAAATTGAGAAGAGAAATGAAGAGACTCTCCTTAGATAAACATTGAATACCTCGGCTAAAACACGCTGCCATAATTCTGAGGAAGTCAGTGCGGTCATGCCTGTTCATATGAACTGAAAGCAGGTCCCTATGCGAACACCAAGCCTTACAGAGCAAATAAAAGAACTTATTGTATCCAGTTTTCCTTCTCTTTGTAGCTGCAAGCCAATACTGAACAATTAGAAAGTTTGTAATTTAAGTCATGCTGTCAATAAGCGTGTAGAACTACAATATTTCAGTCACATCTTGCAAGGCCCCCATATGCTGCTGTGAGTTCACAAGGCAGGCAAGCTGCTGCTGCTGCTACTCGTATCTGGTGCTCAGCAAGGAGCAAGTTTTATGTAAGACAGCTGCTAACAGAAGGGGAAATATGGAAAGACTTCACCCTGCACAGGTCTAAGATGCCCAGACTACACAATCATTGTCCAGCACTGATATGTTGACTAATGCACAAAGCTCAAATATCTAGTCATTGTTTTATGGGAAGAAGGTCTTTTGTTCAACAAGATACATGTAAACATCACAAAGAAGGAGAAATCTTGCTTTAAAATACAGTTTCAAGTACCTGAAGTATGTACTTGAAAGTAACAATTTTAATAACAAGATTCTTAGGTAAAATGATGTAGCTTTACAAAATCTCTTCGCAAACTGTTCTCATGAGTACAATCAGTTGTTCACAAAACCAGATTTCTTTTTTTCTTGTTCATTTTCAGACAAAACTAGCACACTAGATGGATAGAAACTTAAGTAAAACTTTTTTCTTCCATTTACAGCAGAAAATTGATTTGGTAAAAGCCGAGCATTTGGCTGCTTCTTGCCACTAGAAACTGCAGATTTTTCCACAGCTTAGACAAACAGGAATAATAGCAAAAATTTTTGTCTCTAGAGAGAAATGGAGATTATTTACACTAAGAGCTTGATAAACAAACTTATGCAAGTGCAACATTCACTTGACCAGTAAGTGACTTATTTCTGCTTAACTTATAACTGGAGAAACAATTTTGTTATAATATTGGCAAAGAAAATGCCTGGCAAATTACCTTCTAAGACTTCCAATGCACCCTTCATTTTTAAGTCTTTGAATAGAGAAGCTTAATCAAAAAACTTGCCTTTAAATATTGCTAACTCTTGTGTTTACCAAGGGATATGCAAAGTATTTCAAAACGTAACAGCTAGCATTAATCTCATGCCCGGGAAGAGAATCTAATTCAGGCTCTGGAAATAAAGCATTTCTATACAAACAGTCACAATGGGAGTAATCAATGAGCTGCTTCCAGACATGCTTTCCTACATTACAAAGAACAAAACTCTTGCTGCCAGCACATTTCATACACCTCAAAAGGCAGAGGACAAAAACTGGACTTGAAAAAATACCCAAATCCAGTCCTATCTTGACACAGCTTTCCAAAGGGACTGTTAGTATCCCAGTGAGTCAAACAAAGCTCGTGCTAACATTCCACTCATCTAAAAATTCTCCATGAATTGACAGTCTGATTTCTTTTTACCACGTGCTACCAGAAAGATACGCACATGGCAGGATATCAGCTCCCAAAGTTGTTTTATAGAATCCTTAGAGTTGGAAGGGACCTTGTTATGACAACTATTTTTCGAAACAGGCTATCAATGGTCTAACATGGATATCACTAGTCTGCTGAAACATTTTTTCCCCTGTTATTTCTCCAAAAGCTAATTCAAACATTGCCACATTTGCCACAAAACTCTGTATGAGTGTTAAAGATCACCACTTCCCATTTAAGAAAACAGAACATTAAAATGCACTACACAGACCTTGATAAAACTCACAGTACATGCTTTCCCTTGATAATGTAGCCAGGTTAACTACATCCACTCGCACTCCAGGTTTCATTTCAACTCTTAACCTCTACCTCAAGTTTACTGAGCCCACCACTTCCCATGTCCATGTATGCCCAGCAGTCTCAGAGAAGTTCCCCAGCACCACCCCAGCATACCTCATTGAGCGCACCAGCCGTGCCAGCAAAGTCCTTTTTTCCTCATTTGTAAACTTCATAACGCCTGGTGTCTCGAATTTCTGCCGGATCCATTGGCACTGCTCCACATCATTGATGAACATAAATTCCAAGCCTATGTGTTGGCAGTAGGTATTCTAGGGTGTAAAAACACCAATACAGGAGGCTTGAAAAGTTAATGGGACATGAAAAAACGAATACAACTTGAAAATCATACTTTCTTACACTTCTGAAAATCTTGTTTTATCTCCTCTTCCCCTAGATTCTCCTCACGCTAATCCTATAGGCAAATAAACTATTTTATTGAATGAAGGTTTTGCCTTACTGAATTGAAAGCATTCTCTACAAAATAACATTTAATGGTTTTGTACGGAAAGATTTTCCTTTGGATTACCAAAGGATTTTCAAAATAGGCTAACATGTCTGCCTTAAACTTACAGACATATTTCACCTAACTCAAGACTCC